ATATAGATCCTAAACCGATCCTTGCCCGGAACCCTGGCTTATTGTACACTATATAGATCCAATCTCTCCCCCAATATAGATCCTAAACCGATCCTTGCCTGGAACCCTGGCTTATTGTACACTATATAGATCCAATCTCTCCCCCAATATAGATCCTAAACCGATCTCCTGAAACCCAATGTACCCGATGGATCCTGAATAATGCCCTTGTTTAGGGTTTAGGGTTTAGGGGCTTACACATTCTGGATCCCAATAATAATAATCCTCGATCTTCAAGTCTATATAATCTACCCAATATANNATATAGATCCCCTATAAGCCCATCTAATCGTCTATCTAAAACACGACAGATCGCAGTATTCCTGTACCATGTATGCTTCCCTAGACAAAATAGATCCAATATCTCGGCCAAAGTGGATCCCAAACCTAGCTCCTCAAAAGCCAATGCACCCAATAGATCCTGAATATTAGGTCCCCAAACAGCCAAATAATAAGAGCGTATGGTTTTCAAAACCAATCTACCAAAGACATCCCAAACCTAGCTTCTCAAATCCAACAAAGATCCTATAAACCTATAGCTCCCCTACTAATAACGAATAAACATAAGGAGACCTCGATCCGACTGCTTGCGTGCTGCGGGCTGCGGGCTCTGGCTGCAATAAGGGATGCGAAGCAAGCAAAAGTTTGAATCAAGCTCGAGAGCCTGGTGTCCATCCACTCTGTACACAGCCCTGTCGTAGATCGACCTATATCGGGATTGTAGATATTGCGGGTCCAGGGGCCCAGAAATTAACCAACTTTTGGGGAAGGGATCTATTTAAACTTAGTAGGTTTTTGCGGGGAAGTCCAGACTCTTAATTGTCGGCCTTGCGGTTGTGTTGTGGCTATGCAAGATTCAGATCCAATTTCAGGGTTAGGGCTTAGGGGTGTAGAGGTTTAATATCTCTAGGGGCTCGGACCCAGACAGGGCACACCAGCCCAAAAGTTCAGCTGCCCTTCATCAGCAGCGGCCCGGATGAGCTGCCTCGGCCGTGACAGATAACGTGGGTCCGAGGTTTGGGTTTCAATTCGAGAATCCAGAATCGAAGTTTCGAGGTTATCTTATTCTATAGGCAGAGAGAGCCTGGAGCCACACAGCTATGCATCGGGCCTTTAAAGACGGAAGCTTCAAGTTTGCGATGTGTCTATATGTGTTTTGGAGATCGATAGTTGTGTCTATACACATCATATGTATTCATGTATGTACGTATGTCTGTGTGTATGCATGTATGCATGTATGCATCCACAAGGGCTTTGGTGGCCTGGAAGAGCTTTCTAGAGATTCTTTCAAGGCTCCATCAGCGTATGAGAAGGGGTTTGTAGGGTTCAGGGTTTAGGGTTTAGGGTTTAGGGTTCAGGGTTTAGGGTTTAGCATGTAGGGTTTAGGGTTTAAGGTTTCGGGTTTAGGGTTCATTCAGGTTTAGGGTTTGGTGTGTAGGGTTTAGGGTTTAGGTTGCGGGTAAAGATTCGATGAAACCCACAAATCAGGATCCAGCTGCTGGCCGGCCGGCTGCGGGCTGCCTCTGCATCGTGCCAAATGCACCTGGGCAGGACCCGTGCGTGGAAGCACTTCGTGCTCGATTAATGGTTGAAACTCAGCCACTCTAAGCTCTGCAGATCGATCGCCCCTTCCCTTAATTATTGCGGTCATGTGACTCGATCATCAGCCCTCCTCGTCTTCGTTGTCCAGCTCCTGCGAAGCTCAGGCATAGATTGTTTGGTTTAGGGTCTTGGGATTAGGGTTTAGGTTTTAGGGTTTAGGCGGGTTGCTTGTGGGTTCTGTTTAGCGGGGCTGCTCCTCATCGTCACCATCTTCATCGGCCAGGGCCGCCTGCTCGTGAGGAGCCAAAGCCCTCTCGGGCATGCCACACCTGGGCAAGGATAAAGGCTTTAGGATTTAAGGTTCAAGCTTTAGGGTTTTGGGCAGTTTAGGAGGGTTATAGGGGCGTAGGGATTCAGGATTTAGGGCTGTACAAGTATAGGGATCAGGAGTCGAGGCCTTGCCACCTTTTGCATATATGAGTAGTATGTACACATGCATGTGTGGGGCTAGCCGGCTAGCCGTTCATAGGAAGGTTTGTCCGGTGCGGGTACCCCATTGAATGCAAAGAAACCACACCCTGAAGTATTTAGAATATATGACAAGAAGTTCAGTAAAGGATCGTCGGCTTGGGGGGGAAAGCCTTCTTGCAGTCCGTGGATACCTTTTCCCAGTCCATCTTGGCCTTGGTGAAGTCGTGGGTCCCGTTCTGGCCCATCTCAATCAGGAGGTCACGGCACTCTCTGAAGTTCAGCTCGCCTTGGTTCAAATTCATAAAGTGATAACAGTCGCAGAACGTAGCACATATGTTCATTGCGACGACGGCCGTCATATCTCCCCGCACCACGATCTGGAAGCGTTGCCGCCATCCACTGCTCAAGTCATTCCTGTCTGCCCTCGCTTCCACTTTTATAATCGGAGCAGATTTGCCTTGCGTGGCGAACTTCGCCCTGATCGTCTCGAGGATGTAGTCGTTCACCGGCTTATTCCCAGTGGAAGCCTTCGCCTTTGCCTTAGTCCTCTTCGGCAACGACGGAGCAGCTCCGAACTTCTCTAGATCCGCCGGGATCAGTGGCGGCGTCCACTCGGTCCCGTCCTCGAAGACCACGACCACTGAGCCGTCCTTCTCGAACGGGCGACCCGAGACCTCGATGCCGATCATCATCTGGCGGCATGCCTTGCCCAGCGTTTCTTCCCACCATATATCGCCCCTATCCCGGGCGATAGGCTTCTCCTTCTCGGTTGGCTTCTGCTTGGGTGCATGACTCTCCTTCTCGGTTGGCTTCTGCTTGGGTG